AAAAAAAAAAACCAAACCCCTAGAACGGGAACCAAAACAACAGAACAAAAACGAAAACCCCAAAAAAACCCAGGAGGACGAAGAAAGAGAACAAAATCACAGCTGGACCCTGTCCCACACGAGGTGTTAGAAAACAGGAGCCATGACCACACATTCATTTCCACTAAGGGTGTGTGAAGCAGGTACTGCCCCTTCCGTAGCTCTCCATCGACCTAGTCACTGACAAACACTTGTGGAAAAACATATGCACCAGTCTCCTGCGTAATACCAGCTGCAACTATAACAACAAGGTTATAACATAAACCTAAAATAAGATGATAACATGTAAATACTGGGTTATTTAGTCTACAGTACAGTAATCTGGATAAAAATGACAAAGGGATAGCCTAATTTCCTTTCCCCAAACCGCTTTTACTTCCCTACGTTGGATCGACCTTCGATGCAAATCTTAACCTCCTGAGGAATAAAAGAAGGCTTGGGAAGAGTCAAAGGTGGCTCCTCTTCTGATTTCTCGAGTTTTCGTGTTTCGGGGGCCGACCACCTCCTCTTCCTCGTTGCCGGGGGCTTGCTGGGTTCTGTTTTGGTGAGCAAAGGTGCTGCAGGCAATCCTATTTTGTCCGGAAACTTCAGTTCACCATTCTCAGCTAACATCTGTGCGCTTCCCTGATTAATCCCGTTCTCCTGCTCCGCATACCTGTGTCTACTTCCAGCTAGACTGTCATTCTTTGAATGCTTCAGCAAGATACTAGCTGAGTCCACGGGCTGGCCCTTTTTAATAGAGCCGTTCTTCAGGTTCTTGAGCGTGAGCGATATGCAGACGTCCCCCACCGAGAGTTTGGAGCACGGCAAGTCAAAGAGCTGGCTGGTTCTCTCAGGGCAGCAGGATGACCAGCCTTGTCCAAATACAAAAAAAGGGTATTCTACCAAGACTTCCACGCTGACCTGCAGAAAGAGAGGGGACAACAGGGAGAGAGACAGAGGGAGAGAGAGGGGAGAGCGTCAGATCACTCGTGTGGGGCGGGGCGGGAGGGGATAAAGGTGAAGCTGCAGAAGCGCTCTTCAGTTTCTGCAAAATCAACACACGGACCACCTGACTTCACGCCTGCCCGTGTCACGCGGGTGGTAACAGTTTCTCTGAGCTCAGCATTTCTCAGCACGAGACCTCGGCAGGAATTGAGCTTTACCTTTATCCAGCTGCTCACAGAGGCGTAAGAGGCAGAACAGCTTCGGCACCTGGCAACCGCCGCTCCCCGCCATCCTCTTGGGGCACCTAGAGCCCGTCATACATGTCCACGGACACTTTCCAACCAGAGGACGGCTCAAGGGAAGCTCTCATTTCTGACACACGATTTCCGGAACGACCACAGGAACGTCATCCTCACCTCTGCCCGACCGGGCGTATACTTACCAGCATGACCAGGCTGAAGGCACGCCGATTTCCAGGGGAAGGCCGTGAGGACGTACAGAGTTGTAGCCCTAAGAACAGTGAGCGCGAACCTGCCTTCCCCCAGCAGCCCTGTCACCAGTCCAGTTTTTTCCCTTCTCACAGCTGCCCTCCCACTCTGCAGCTGAGTTCAGCTCTTGCACTCCCTCCAGGAGAGCATCACCACTCTTCTTCCTCCTCCTGATGTTCCTGCACAGGGTCTTCTTCTCTGCACTGTGTCCCCTTTTCCCCCCACTTGACCCCCACTTCAAAAACACATCTATCTGGTTATGAATGCCATCAACCCACCATACAGGGAGCTGCCACAGGCAGGAGAACAGAGCCGCAACAGGTGCCCGCTGCTCCCCGACCTTGCCAACACTGGGCCTTGAGGTCCCAACGCGACAAAGCACCTCAACGCCCGCTCATCTCTGCGTGTCACCAGCCCGGCGCTCCCCACGCGGTGCTGCGCCTGTGGGCTCACATGCCTGACGCGGGCTGATGTGACACACAGCCCGCGGGGCTGAGCCACCCCCAGCATGCCGCGACGAGAGCAGGAAATTCTGACTAACACTTCTTTAAAATCTGGCAACTGGTTTTTACCTTGCTGTGCGTAATGCCCGTGAGGTCTGCAACTCTAAGAAGGTGGCTTATGCTGAAGTCCACTGCCCTGCTCCCAAGGTCCCTGTGTCCTGTGGGGCTCTTCTCAGGCATGGGGCACACGATCCTGCTCTGACGATGCAACCCCTGTTTGGTAGGGGCTGAAGGGCAGGAGAACACCTGAACAGACGTGCTCATCTCATTTCTGAGCCATTCAGCAAGCACGAAGCTGCCTGGAGAGCCTGCCCTCTCCAGGAACACGGACTTGCCTGAAAGGAACATCACAGCAGGCTCGCGAAACCACCTCTCACCCTTGGGAGCCAGTAACCACCTCTCACCCTTGGGAGCCGGTAATGCCAGCACACCGAGCATGGCTTTGTGTCGTCCAAAGCGCACTCCAGCATTAAGAAATGGAAGCAGTTTGCGGTGCACACTGCACTCCAGTGTTCAAACACCTCTGCTCACAGTTGTAAGTGTGAACCTTGGGATGAAGCTGCATGGCCTGTCTCGCTGCAGAGGCTGGACTTGATGGCAGCACGGCACCCAGCAGCCCTGCTGCTTCCCTGCTAGTGCTGCTCACCCTCAGAGGCACCCTCCCTGCAAGCAGGGCCCGAGGCAGCTCCCCTTGCACCCCACCAGCTCCACATGCCTTTTGGGCAGGGAGACACCACCAGCGATGTCTCACAGCTCAGAGACAGAGGCTCCAGAACCAGGAAACCAAAGATTCCCATCAGATGTTGACTGTGCCTCTGACTGGTAAAGCCCACGTCACGCACCAGCAGTCAACTGCAGGTTATGGGACAGTTGACTCTGTTGAAAAAAACCTTATGAAGTCTATAAATATATACAATCATGAAATCATTAAGGTTGGAAAAGACCCCTAAGATCATCAAGTCCAACTGTCCACCCATCACCACCATGCCTGCTAAACCATATCCCAAAGTGCCATGTCTACGTGTCTTTTGAACACCTCCAGGCATGGTGACTCCACCACCTCCCTGGGCAGCCTGTTCCAATGCCTGACCACTCTTTCAGTAAAGAAATTTTTCCTAATATCCAATCTAAACCTCCCCTGACACAATTTGAGGCCACTGCCTCTTGCCCTATCGCTAGTTACCTGGGAGAAGAGACCAACA